ACCTTGATATGACTCCCAAGGCTGGTCTGTCTTCACTTTGCTGTGCTGCCTAGGAGAACAATATTTCAACATTAAAAGGTATAAAGAAATACCTTGTTAAGAAAGTCACAGGGTACCAAATGCACTTCTAATAGGCCACAGGGGCAGAAAGCACATTTCTCTGGAGTGATACTGATATTTGCCTCTAAAATTACTCTTTTGATTCCTCTTGAACCTTTTTCCCATCTGTGGTTGCCACCACCTCTTCAGAAAACACTACACGAAAGGGAGTCAACCTCAGCATGGTGCTGACTTGGGGCCTACTGGCCTCAATGTGCCCACCTCCCAAACACTATTCTGCAGGGCCTCCTTTCTGGAGAGGGAAGGAATGGGACACAGTGCTGCAGTCAAAATCAAGCTTTTTGTTTCTCCCTTCTCTTGCCTCTTAACATAAGCAGCTCCTACATTGAAAATCAAAATCATTTGTGTGCACACAGAGCAACTGTTTGCTTGCTGTTAGCTTGTAGGTCTCGGTGGGGGTTTGATGCATTTAGAAAGCAGAACAACCCTGAGAGAGCCTAATCTCATAAGTAGACAAAAAGAAAATTGAAGCTGGAAACACATTTTCCCATATCTGAGAAAGAGGCCAGTAATAAGCATTCTTCAACTCCAGCTCCCCTCCAGCTCAGAAAATGCTCTTAAGCCAAGGACACAGGTGGAAAGGATTTCTTGAAAGGGTCCTGCTCCTTGTCTATTCAGAAAGCTTTATGGGACCCAGTTGGAGATTGATTGTGAGTTCTGGAAATAGCACACCTTTTCCCTCAAGCCACCAAGTAGGATGCCTTTCATTTTTATAAAATATGTTCACTATTAGTTTTCTTGGTACTTCCATTTTCCCCATCACTAGGCTGCCTTGGGACCAAAAGCAATCCCAAAGCTTCTCTACGCTGATGTTTCTACACAGGGTGAATGCTAGAGTCTGGAGAAAGTGTCTTTTATGATGTGGGTGTGGGTCCCCACTCCCACAGCAAGGGAAATACAAGGGCCCATATATTAGGCACTTGGTCCCCTCTGTGACAATTTGGGAAGGTAGAACCTTTAAGGGGTAGGACCTAATAAGGGCCTTGGGTCACCAAGGACCCTACCCTTGGAAGGGACTAAAGCAGTTCTCCTGCAACCTCTTTGTACTTCTCTTGAGAACTAGTTGCTATGAAAGCCTGAGCCTGACCCTTCAGTCTCTTTCCGGCTTCCTCTACTGATATGCAGTGTTACCATTGCCACCCAACATGATGTGTTACTACTGAGCAAGCCCTCACCAGAGTTCAGCTGATGCAGCACCATAACGTTGAGCCTCCAGAACTGTGAACTAAATGCACCTTTTTCCTTCACAATTAGCTTGCCTCAGGTATTTCATTATAGTGTCAAAAAGCTGACTGGTATTCCTATATCATTCTGAAGGGGCTGAACTCCACTTAGTGCAGTTTATTTGACACGTCTTCTTCTCAGAAGTTTCCCTGTGGCCTCATCCTACCAGGATTTTTGCTCATCCAGTTAAAACCTCATATTGACATCTACTCTTGCAACATCCAGAGTTTCCTTTGCCAAAGACCAGAGCTTTTCCCTTTTGGTTTAGGGCACATATCCTTCCAAGGTAGGATCCCACTGCTTGAAAGTCACCAGCAGCTGTATGTGAATGGATACAGCTACTCCTCTGGGATCAAAGGTTAAGGAGGGATGTTAGAGAGAGGCTATGTTCCCAACAGATCCAGCTGACTTAGAACTCATCACCCAGGTGTAGAAATTCTAATCTATAAAGACATGCTAATTGTGCAGTTGCTACCCATCCAGTATTGTTTCTTTCTCT